CACGGAAATGAGATGTCTGAGAAGGGCTGTAGGAGTGACCATAAGAGATAAGATCAGGAATGAGATCATAAGAGAACAAGTCGGCACAGAACCAATTCTGGATTACATACAAAGACAGCAAGTGAAATGGTTTGCCCACTTAGAGAGAATGCCTTGTGACACCATACCATACAAAGCATACATGGAAAGAGAAGAAGGACGTAGAGCACGGGGTAGACCATGAACAAGATGGAAGAATAACATCAGAGAAACTCTACAACAGCACGATGTGCCTATGGTCGAGGCAGCCAGAAGAGCTAGAAACAGAACCTTATATCTCCCTCGACACCCACAGCGGTAAAAGAGGAAGTGAAGAAGAAGAAGAAGAAGAAAGTAATGAAGAAGAAGATACACGATATAGAATATTATTTGGCTATAAAAGCACATAGGGCTAGAGAAGTGGACGGAGAAAGAAAGGCTTTCAAACATGTCTTGAAGAGAGCGACGTTTTGTTTATTAAAAACCTTGCTGATTAATGATGTTGACTATGATGAATTACTGGCATCATGAGGACTAATAGAACTGCAATGTTTAGGGCCCTTAGAGAGAAGTGACACCTCGTCCCCATGTTTGATGCAGTTTTTCTTTTTTTGAAGCCCCACCCTGTCTTTTGCCAGGGGCCCTGAATATAGCCGCGCCTCAAATGTGGTCATAACGGCTGAAAGGGGTTTCTGGGACCTCTCCACGGTTGATCCTTATCCGAAAGGTGGCAATTTGTGTCACTGGATGTTTATCACTTGTGTGATGTCCTGCATTTTATAAAATGAAAAACATCTTGTGCAAAATATCCTTGTCATTGAGAGTTAGAAAAAGAATTCTTGCTTGCTACATACATCCAGTTTTAACATATGGATGTGAATCCTGGACAATCGGTAGGCAGGCCAAACAATGTTTAGATGCCTCAGAGATGTGGTTTTACAGAAGAATGCTTAGAATACCTTGCACAGCCAAAAAGAGCAACCAAGAGGTTTTGAAAGAGGCGGGAGACTGAAGAGAACTTATCACAGACATCAGAAGGAGACAGTCATCATTTTTCGGCCATGTTATGAGAAGAGGGAAAGATCTGTGGAAAAAAGGATAGAGGAAGACAACGAGAGAAGATGCTTAACAGTCTTGTTGCATGGCATGGAGGTGTGTCGGCACACAAACTGATACATGCTGCAGGAGATCGCAGATTATGGAGAGGCATGATCGCCCACGCCAGTCAGCAAGGCACCTGATGATGATAATGTTGATGATGATGTCCTGGTGGGATACAGCAAGTAAACAAGCAATCAAGCAAGCAAGTGTTAAATGGATGTAGAGCACGAGACGGACTCAGAAGACTGATGGGAAATAATTTACAGACACACATAAACTTGGATTCACCAGCCTGTTGGAGAAGGCCAGTCACAGATATCATGGATGTCTGCAGTAATAGACCCCAAAGGCTAGGGAAACAGAAGAGAAAGATGGAGAAATCGTAAGTCAGGATCAGTGTTCTTGGAAGAGGGAGAAACTGTGCGTCAGGATCAGTGTTCTTGGAAGAGGGTGAAACCATGCGTCAGGATCAGTGTTCTTAGACCAGGGAGAAACCGTGCGTCAGGATCAGTCTTCTTAGACGAGGGAGAAACTGTGCGTCAGGATCAGTGTTCTTGAAAGAGCGAGAAACCGTGCGCCAGGATCAGTGTTCTTGAAAGAGGGAGAAACCATGCATCAGGATCAGTTTTTTTTTAGACGAGGGAGAAACTGTGCCTCAGGATCAGTGTTCTTGGAAGAGGGAGAAACCATGCGTCAGGATCAGTGTTCTTAGACGAGGGAGAAACTGTGCGTCAGGATCAGTGTTCTTGGAAGAGGGAGAAACCGTGCGTCATAATCAGTGTTCTTGGAAGAGGGAGAAACCGTGAGTCAGGATCAGTGCTCTTGGAAGAGGGAGAAACTGTGCGTCAGAATCAGTGTTCTTAGACGAGGGAGAAACCGTGTGTCAGGATCAGTCTTCTTAGACGAGGGAGAAACCGTGCGTCAGGATCAGTGTTCTTGGAAGAGGGAGAAACCGTGCGCGAGGATCAGTGTTCTTGGAAGAGGGAGAAACCGTGCGTCAATATCAGTGTTCTTAAACGAGTAAAAAAAACCGTGCGTCAGGATCAGTGTTCTTGGAAGAGGGAGAAGCCGTGCATCAGGATCAGTGTTGTTGGAAGAGGGAGAAACCATGCGTCAGGATCAATGTTCTTTAAAGATGGAGAAACTGTGGGCCAGGATCAGTGTTCTTTAAATAAGGAGAAACTGTGCGCCAGCATCAGTGTTCTTGGAAGTAGATGATCAAGGCGTCTGAAGTGCCCTGCCTTGCTCGAATCTCTCTACAGAGTCTGCCTGTAATCGCTTTCTTTTCCGTTGAACCAATAAAAGGTTTCATCCGCACAATCTTTGAAAGCAGGGTAGGTATATGATGGAGACTATAGAGAGATTGTATAGAGATTGTAGAGAGATTGTGGAGGCCAACCTTTATGAAAGTGAACACACGACATGAAGATCTCTGATTATGAACTCATTGGCCTGGATATTCGACAAGAGAAAGAGAGACTTACGACAGTGCCGTGAGGAAAGCGAGGTTTTGTTAAGGACCTACAGACTGATAGTGATAATGTGCATCCCATCATCATCCACTATACTGAGTGTCGTTGGGTCACTAGTTGCTGTTGACTGTCTGATCAGCTGCCTTCAACTTTCAAGGTCAGATGCAATGCACTTTCTTGTTGCATGGCTAAGACCTGTCCAGCCAGCTTGGGAGAAACTGTGCGCCAGCATCAGTGTTCTTGGAAGAGGGAGAAACCGTGCGTCAGGATCAGTGTTCTTTGGATAAGGAGAAACCGTGCGCCAGGATCAGTGTTCATGGAAGAGGGGGAAACAGTACGTCAATATCAGTGTTCTTGGAAGAGGGAGAAACCTTGCGTCAGGATCAGTGTTCATGGAAGAGGGAGAAACAGTACGTCAATATGAGTGTTCTTGGAAGAGGGAGAAACCATGCGTCAGGATCAGTGTTCTTTAAAGAGGGAGAAACTGTGCGTCATGATCAGTATTCTTGGAAGAGGGAGAAACCATGCGTCAGTATCAGTGTTCTTGGAAGAGGAAGAAACCGTGCGTCAGGATCAGTGTTCTTTAAAGAGGAAGAAACCATGCGTCAGGATCAGTGTTCTTTAAAGAGGAAGAAACCATGCGTCAGGATCAGTGTTCTTTAAAGAGGAAGAAACCATGCGTCAGGATCAGTGTTCTTTAAAGAGGAAGAAACCATGCGTCAGGATCAGTGTTCTTTAAAGAGGAAGATGGAGAAACAGTGCGTCAGGATCAGTGTTCTTCAACGTATGGTTGGTGGACCACTGGTGGGTCGTGGATATGTCCTGGTGGATGGAAATGTGCGGGTGGATCGCCGTTATACTTCTACCTAAGTACGTAACGGCTACATAATTCCGACACTACATTGCTACACCGTGAGTGAAAATGACCGCAACACACACACATCAGATTTTCTAACATCTAAGCATCCGGAAATATCGCTTCAGGTGAAAATGTTAATTTTGTGACCTCGGGTTTAACAAATAAACGATGAGACGTCAGTGGGTTAGGGTTAGGGTTAGGGTTAGGGTCAGGGTTAGGGTTAGGGTCAGGGTTAGGGTTAGGGTCAGGGTCAGGGTCAGGGTTAGGGTTAGGGTCAGGGTCAGGGTCAGGGTTAGGGTTAGGGTTAGGGTTAGGGTTAGGGTTAGGGTTAGGGTCAGGGTCAGGGTTAGGGTCAGGGTCAGGGTTAGTGTTAGGGTTAGGGTCAGGGTTAGAGTTAGGGTCAGGGTTAGGGTTAGGGTCAGGGTCAGGGTTAGGGTTAGGGTTAGGGTCAGGGTCAGAGTTAGGGTTAGGGTCAGGGTTAGGGTCAGGGTTAGGGTTAGGGTTAGGGTAAAATTCTAGATGTTTAATGGTAGTCAAAAGCCCGAAATCGTGGGTTCACTCCCTAGCGGAGCCGGACTTTTTTCCACAGGTCGAATCAGCCTTGCGTGGGTACCGGGTGCAGTCCTGGGAAGTAAAGGCGACCGGTGGGATGCTGACCACATCACCCATCTTGTGCCGATTGGTCTATAAAATATAGGTCTAGCCCTATATGCCTTATACGTCTAAATGCGTGGGCAAGGGTCCTTTACATTTTACTTTTACTTAAAAGCACCACAAAGCCGGGGAAACCCGTTCTTTCTTACCACCATAAATAATAATATTGTACTGTCCCTGTGACGTCATCTGTGGGTGTCTTACGACGAAAGAACTAAATAAACTACTAACTACATTATGTGTGTGCATTGGTCTGCTATTAAATGGGTCTGCTTCTGATTTCACTTGTCCGCAGTTGTAAAATTACGGGGCCCTTCCCCCACCCACCCGGCTTCAAACCTCCATTTGTGGCGCTTGCCCGTTTCAATGATTTCTTCTTCTTCGTGCATTTAAAGACGTTAATGCGTTGTAGCTATTTACAGCATGGCTGCGATATTTACGCCTTTTGGCCGACACATCCGACTTCTGCAGGCGTCTGTTGCCCGGGTTAGCCTTCATGGCAGTGAGTTCGATTCTGAGGTCAACCCTCCACGCTCTCACATATGTCACATCGACCTATCCACACATCTCACACGTCACATTCACTCACCCACACATCTCACATCGACCCATCCACACATCTCACACCTCTCGCATCGACCCATCCACACATCTCACATCGAGTCATCCACACATTTTACATCAAATCATCCACACATCTCACATCGACTCATCAATACTTTTCACATTCACCCATCCACACATATCCCATCATTCATCCACACATCTCCCGTCGACTCGTCCACACATCTCACATTGACCTATCCAGACATATCACATAGACCTATCCACACATCTCACACATCTACACTAAATAAACGTCACCGCTGTCTCCCACAGATAGCACCGAGTGGGGAATGTACTACCCAGAGGCCAGCGGAAACCAGCAGAGTCCCATTGATCTCATCTCCAACGACGCCAGGTATGACCCGTCGCTGGCAGAGCGGCCGCTCAAGTTCAGCTACTGCATCTCGCGGGAGACTGAGCTCCTGAATAATGGCTACACCTTAGTTGTCTTTCCCAGGCCGAAGCAAGGTGGGTAACCCAGAAGGCTTGAAGGTTTTGAGCAACGGATCAACGTCAAGGCAAATGGGTTACTTGAGGTTTGAATAACGAATTAACTTTATGGCACACGGGTAGAAACCCATAAGTGCTCCGTTCTTCTTCTAACTCAAGTTTGAGTTCGAAGAAGCTCAGCACAGTGCACAGGCTCTGTAGCACCGGCATGGATCCTGAAATAATTTGGGTAGATTTTTAACTGTAAATTTTGCCTGGGCAGCGCTGTTAGGCTACTCTTTTCGATTTCCAACTGCCAATGGATTTTTTACATGCACACGGGCGTCCGATCTCACTACCCAGAGACCAGGGGGAGTTACTAGAAGTCAAAGTCCACGTGTAAAATCCCAGTTCTTACCGGGGATTGAGCCCAAAACCTCTAGCCCTCGAGGCGGACACCATGCCTCAAGATCACACAGCCCCTTTGGGTAACGCAGAAGAATGTTGTTACTCATCGTCGTCATCATTGCTATTGTCACCTTCATTGTCACCACCATTATTCCATCATTAGTTAGTTAATCGACTGATTATCCTCACATCGGACAATCCCATAAGCGCTCGGATCCCATCTTCAGTCTATCCCCCAGCGTGTGGCGACTGATAACATCAGTTCTGTGAGGTTTACTATTCTTTTTTGGCTACCTGTATAGTGTTAATATTTTTTGGCGGCACCGCTTTTGACCTGAACTTCTTGTAGACTTTTGAGTGTTGCCGATTCAGCGTCATCCCCTTTCGTCTTCTTTTTTCGTTCGCCTGAAATAAGTTGTCTATATCAGCAATTTTGTCTCTTGTATAAATGTCACTGTTGTTGTTATTTAATTCAGTGGTCCATAGAGTTTACGTTCCACTGTTGTTCTTTCTGGCCAAAAGGTTTGCCTTAGTGTGTCAAATTCGGTGCAGTCCTGGAGTACATGCTGTGCTGTCTGTGGCACCTTTCCACAGGTGCACGTGGCTGATACACCTATCTTGAATTTTGTGTACATGTGGTTACGTAGTCGATTGTGCCCTGTTCTGAGGCGGAGGATAATATAACTTGTTCTGATCTGTCCATAATAAAATAGTCGTCTTGTGCCGGGGCTGGTGGTTTCCTGATCGATTTAATGATTCTTTTCTTTTGAGTCGTCTCCTGAATCATCTTCTGGTGCTGCCTCCTTGAGAGCATCAAGAATGTCGGCCCTGTCTACTGCTTTTTCCTGTACCTACCGTGACCCTGCCGACAAGTCAGCCGCATCATTCTCGCTATTAAATGCCTTGTATATTGCCATTTGGATCGTGTTTCTCCGCATCTGGCAGTCTCCAGTCGTAGGCAACCGTTAGTCCCTAGGGAGGGGTGCCTCGTTAGCGCTGTCGATAGGAGACTCGCTTTCAAATCCAGATGCGACTCGCTGCAGCCCATGTCCGATGTTCCAAACCAGCCAGTTTCCGGAGTTCACCCAGCTTCTAGGTAAAGGGTACAAGAGTTAACACTCTAGGGTAAATGGAGGAACGTCGTTGTAGCTACAAAGTTTCATGCGGGCGGCTACACAGCAGGACAGTTTCTTATCAGCTGTCGGTGCCCGGCTCTCTAGCGTAGTTGACTAAACCGGATTGCTCGGAGACCCGGTGACGAACTCCTTGTGGTCCGGGTTCACTTCCGGGGGTAGGCATGAAAGCCACATTTTCTCCCAGATTTACGGTATCTACAATGGAATCAAACCCGAAAGGTTGCGATATCCATAATACCGAGCCTAAGGGTTAACAACACATGGCTTCTGGGTACTAAAACAAACATCAGCTGTCGGTACGGGTGGCAGAGCACTTATGGTTTATAACTGTGTGCAGTGATGCTGGTTCACCTCTCCCGACTTGATTTTTACCTTTAGTCCCTGCGGACCATAGAGTTGTGGCGCCGATTTCAAGAACAGCTTGTGCTGTTTTACGGGAATAGCATTTAGTCCACATGAATACATCGATGCTCAATGATACTGAGGCCACCTTTCTCCAAGACCTGTCCTCTCCCTAGCTTGCTTCCTTTGGCCTGTTTGAAAGTCCCTCTTTGACTATATGCCCCTATAAACAGTGGGTTTGCAGCTGATCCTTCCCAGATGTCTAGGTCAATGCTGGTATCTTTCAGGTCGCGTTTACATGTCCATAACGCGTAGCCTTGGCCTTCCTATAGATCTTTTACCTGTTTCCTGATCACATAAGATTATCCTTTAGAATGCGAAAGTCCTCTCCTTTTTGGTGAATACATGTTCTAACAGTGCAGGCGTCCTTGCTTTATTAAAAAGTATATTGTTGATCTCTCCCTGATGTCTGTGT